TATCTACTGTACATTATAAAACACCAGATCACTGTAACATCCACATAATATATAGCTACTGTACATCATAAAACACCAGGTCACTGTAACATCCACGTGATATATAGCTACTGTACATCATAAAACACCAGGTCACTGTAACATCCACATGATATATAGCTACTGTACATCAAAAACACCACATCACTGTAACATCCACATGATATATAGCTACTGTACATCATAAAACACCACATCACTGTGACATCCACATGATATATAGCTACTGTATATCATAAAACATCACATCACTAACATCCACATGATATATAGCTACTGTACATTATAAAACACCAGATCACTGTAACATCCACATGATATATAGCTACTGTACATCATAAAACACCAGATCACTGTAACATCCACATGATATATATCTACTGTATATCATAAAACATCACATCACTAACATCCACATGAAATACAGCTGCTATATATTATGAAATACTAAATCAATATGATCTATACATAATACACAGCTATTGCACATTACAGAACTACTTAACTATGATGTCCACACAATAAATAGCTAATGTATATTACAAAACATCACATCATCAAAGGTGTAGCTAGGCATATGCATTATATGGATGCTCTTTCTTTTTCTTCTGTGCCCATCGTAGTTATGGTGACTTTTCTCTGAAGTATCTTGTAGTGAGAATCACAATCATTCCAGTGATAACTATACATACATATCTTTATAAGCAAATATATTTTGAGCCAAATCATTGTTTTTGTTAATCATAGACTAATCTCATGCATATAGTTCTTAAAAGTCTGGCTATGCCTCTGCATCACTATAATATCCACAAACATACATAGCAAACACATTTAAAACACCATATCACAGTAGTATACATAGTATATAGCTACACTACATTCTAGGATACAACTTGACTAGATCACCACATGATAAATAACTCCTGTGCATTATAAAACACCAAATCATTATAAGGTCCACATGATAGATATAGCTACTGTATGATATATAAAACACTACGTACTGCTCTGTAATCTCTATATGATATATAAGTACTATACATTGTATACATTACAAATCACTACTGTACATCACTGTAACACCTATGTACATAGTTAATATGTATTACAAAATAACATACTATTATATCCACCAAACATGTAAATACCAACTACAGTTAAAAACACCATATCACTATAATATCTACAATGCAACAATAATGTACATTATAAAACACCATGTTACTTTTCTGTTAGATTTGTTAATTTGTGGTGTGTTTTACTGGGGGAAGGATGTCTGCTGCAAGTCTAATTTATTTCAGTTTTTGCAGGAGAGGTATACAGATGTGAAAGGTCACAACTGAATACGTTTGTGTTTTGTATTCATTGTTTTAAAAGAATAGTAGTTAGTCAAGTGGATCCAATGACCTGTTTCTACCTTGCTCATAAAGAAAACATTTTTAGACTGGATAACAGACTTAATGCAAGATGGTTGCAAAAAATTAGATGACTTTAGACATTCCAATGTGGTACCTAATAATAGGAATAACAGTTAATTGTGCTGTGCCCACAAGTCACAACTATATTTAGAGACAAATAGACAGACTAGTGCTAAACAACAACAGCTCATCCAATTTCAGCTAATATCAATGAGACCACAAGATTAACTATTAGACATATCTACATAATGTTTTTTTATTCTATACCTGAGAATATGTGACAGCAGTTCCAGTATTATAATAAGCTGCTGCTGCAGTTGCTGGGCTGTACATAGTTGATGAATCTGTGACACTATAAACTGGGTATCCTGTCCTGTAAAGAAAAAGAAAGCTCTGACTACAAAAACTAAAACAGGCCCACTGAATACATATAGTGTCAAAATTAAAGAATTTACAGGTTTAGAAAATTAATCAACTCTTAAGTGAACTAAATGTACACATTTAAGATATTCTAACATTAGTATAATGTCAAACAATATGATTTTTCTTATGCTTATAATAAAGTATATGATCAAGTTTCATGACATTCACAAAACAATATATTTCAAATAAAATATATAATGTTTTGAGCTACATTTCCAATGTTTCATTTTGGATGTTAGCTAGAAAGTGCATGACATTAAGATCAAGAAGTATTGTGGAAGTATGCCTAGAATGTTCTAAATCTAATGTCACAAAAATATAGTACATTCAGGGAGTATCGAGAGACAAGAGTAGATTATAAATATGAGAATAAGTGAAGTACTGATTCAGTGTCTTGGTCTCAGTTAGTGGTGAATAATCCATAAATACTGAACCAGTTTAGTTGGTTGAAGTATTAGGCTCAGCATTAGCTATCATGTATATTCAGTTACTTGATCAATTAGCAGTGAAATTGTACAATTAAAAAATATTTTTAAATTGGCCATAGAACATTAGTGATGTACTTCCATTTTCACATCATTTGTAAACACAGGCCTACAAATTACAACAGTCTACAAGTTTGTAGAAACATTAAAGAAGAAATAAACTAATCTATTTCTTTGGCCATATTTTCATCAGATAATTCAAAAGAATCTGCCCTACAAAAGAACAAATGTTACAACCCTGATGTCAGGTGTGGGATTATTTTGGTGAAAATAAAAGAAAACATTGAGAAAACTTAAAACTTTCAAGGTCACTTCATGAAGCTATTTTGGAGATTTATTGGAGTTAATGAAACAGTTAGAAAGAAAGTCAATAGGAAAGAGACCAAAAAGCAAAAGAAGATCAAGAAGAAAGAGACTGGGAAGAAGAAGAGATAGAAAAATAAAAGAAGACCAGAAGAAATTTACGGAAAATTGAAAGATGCTCAAGATGCAAGTTAAAGGAATTTAAGAAAGGAGTTAAAAGACATGTATAATAATTGAAGAAGAATTAAAAATACCTCTGATTGATGAAGAAGACATCAACAAAGTACAAAAAGACATCTATGAAGTATGGAAAAATTATAACATCAAGACTAATGTAGTAGAAAAAAACACCAGAGAAAGAATAAAACTCTCAGAAATGGAAAAGGCAAAGATTAAACCAGCCATACCTGTTACCAGTACTGCTGTGGCAGGACCTTCAAGGACTACTCCAGCCATGAAACTACTAAATCATGTTCAAGAACTTATCTTGCCAGTTCAACAATGGCTAATCAAGAAACCACGAACTATGATGGGAAATATCAAGGAAGTCATACCAAGCTCAGTTTGAAATCATTTCCAGAGAGAATAGTGAACAACTAGTGAATAATGAACATTTATCTTGCTGCCCATTTAAAAGCACAAGCTTTGACAACATTAAACAACCTTCTAGATGAAAGTCATAACAACTATCAAGCATTGTTAGCTGCCTTATTCAACAGGTTTGAGTAACATACCAGAAAGCAGTATTGAGAGCAAAGTTCTGGAACAAGGTATGGAGGAAAGAAGATACCTCAGCCGAACTTGAAAAAGATTTGGAAAGGTCTGACAAGATAACAAAATGAGAATTATGCTGAGGCAAAGTAAGTGTACATCTTTACATGAGGCTATCCAGTTCGCAATGGAATTCAAATTCATTAAAGTTGCAGGTAAACTACTAAAGGAACAATTTATAAAATATGGGTATAACAGATACTATAGTTCCAAAATATCAACTCCCCCTAACAATAGTCTAAAAGAACTGAAAAATGAATCAGCCAACTAGTTACATAGAATTGAGGAAATAAAGCACAAAAAATAGGTGTTTCAAGTGCAACTTGAAAGTATGTATTGCAAAGAGGTGTGGATCAAAGCCAGTATGGAATAAGTACTCCACCCACAAGATACTAGAAAGAGGGAACTGTTATAATTTTAAGAAATATAGCCATTAAAGGATTCAACACCAAGGAGACAATACCCTGAGAATGTGTCTCACGGCCCAATCAGATCAAAGGTACAACACAGAGCCAACCAGACATAAAAAAAAAGATAAGAACTAGCTGGATTTATGTAGCAAAATTCAGTTGGAAATATTCTTTCTACCCCAAATGAGAGGAATAAAGCTCTCTTAGCTGAAGATGACTCCTTCCCTGCCAAAATGTATAATTGTGTCTCCTAGTCTTTCCATTGTGAGCTCACCATGAAATATGAATAAATATGTTGTATCAACACTATCAATTCCCTTTACAATTTTAAACACCTCAATCAGATCCCCTCTATCTCTTCTTTTTTCCAAGAAAAGTTCAAGGATATTAACCTATCCTCTCATAAAACCTTTCCATCCCAGGTATCATCCTATTAGCCCTCCTATTAGAATCCTTTCTAATAATTAAATGTCATTCCTAAGATAAGGAGTCCAAGCCTGAATGCAGTACTCTAAATGTGGTCTAACCAATGACCTATACAATAATATTATAAGCCTCTTTAGACTTATATTCAGTACTTCTGTAGATATAACCTAAAAGCAACTGTACATTGCTTGGATGGCTTAAGAAATGATCAACCACTACGTCAAGCTCCCTTTCTTCCATAACACTGTTAAGTTACTCCCATCAAAATTACACTCATAATTAAAACTGTAATATCCCACGTGCATTATCTTGCATTTAATTAAACATTTATTATAATTAAAAAGCCAACTCATCAAATAATCCAAATTCTTTTGTAAAGCAGGTGGCATCCTCCTTACAGCCAACAACACCCAAAACTGTAATATCATCAGCAAATTTAAATAATCTATTGACCATTCCTTTATCTATGTCACTGATGTAAACTGAAAAGAGTAAAGGGCCTAACAGTGAGCCCTGGATACCCCACTTATGACATGAATCCACTCTGACTGAACACCATTTATATAAAAAAAAAAAATTTCCTTCCATCCAGCCAGTTTTTTATCCAATGAGCCAGTCTATCTCCCATAACAACAGAGATAACTTTTAAACAAGCCTTTTAGGTGACATCTTATCAAATGCTTCTGAAAATCCAGATACACCAAATTCACACCCATACCCTCATCTACACAAGCAGTAACCTCTTTTAAAAATGGTAAAAGATTAGTAAGGCAAGATTTTACTATGCTGACTATCCAACAAAATTTTAAACTTTGTTAATTGACTTTTCAAAGCATCTTTTATCAATTTTTCAAAAACTTTTCCCAACACTAATGTAATACAAATAAGCCTATAATTACTGTGAAACATTTTACCACCTCCCTTGAAAAGAGGAGTAACATTAGCCAACTTTCAATCTTTTGACACCTGTCCACTATTCACGGACTTAGAAAAACATAGTAGCAAATTGCTCACACGTGCAATACTTAGCCTCATTCAAAACCTTTGGGTAAAAATTATCTGGCCCAAGAGCTTTATCATTCTTTAAACTCCAAAATTTTTTCTTAACATGCTCAGAATTAATATGATCATCTTGTTCAATCTTGTTTCCATCTAGCAATTATTCAGGGTGAGAAATACTGCTTAAATCTTCATTAGTAAAAATTTAGAAAAAAAAGTAGAATTTAATAACCCAGCCATTCCATTTCCTATATCATCCTTCAAAGGCCCTACTCCCATCCTAACATTTTGCTTACTCTTAATGTACTTAAAGAAATATTTACTATTGAATTCTTACATTTTCAGCCAATCATTTTTTCATATAGTTTTTGATTTCCAAATTTCCCATTTTGACCAACTCTCTCGATCTTCTATGATCCTCCAACTCTCACATCATTGCAGTCAATTTAAACTTTGTATACTTATTATCATTTTTCTTTAATTTTATCCTTTATGAGCCAACCTGAGTTCTTACTTGAAGTGACCCTTTTTTCTATAAGGAACATGCTTATCTTGAATATTTAAAAATATATTTATAAAGTTTTCCCACATTTGATCAGTATTTCCAACTAATTCAGTTATCCAATTCACAGCAGATAATTCTAAGATTTGCTTCTTTGAAATTCAGAACCAAAATCTCATTATTCCTTAACTCCATATGTAGTAAAACATCAAATCTAATTGAACAATGATCACTTGCTCCCAAATGTTCCTCAATTCCTACCCTATCAACTATTTCTATATTACATGTTAATAATAAATCTATAATAGCATTGTTCTTAGTAGGTTCCCTTACCAACTGGTGAAGAAAACCATCCTGAACAGTTTCTAAAAACCTGTTTCCCCTATGATTTGATTCTAAAATTTCCCAGTCTGTATGCCAGAAATTAAAATCTCCCATAATTATAACCTCATTAACAGCTTTATATCATTGTAGAATTTTTCATTAATTTTGTCAGTATCCTCTGGTGGACTGTAACAAGTTCCAATTAAAAGCCTTCTTCTCTTATAAACACTAACAGAAACCCGAAGAGATTCAACCTAATTACTTTTAGCTTGATATCCTCAACTTGAACAGGATGTGACTCACATTTTACATATAAATCCACTCCTCTCCATCTTTTTAGAACTCTATCCTTATAAACCAACCTATTACCCTGTATTTAAAAGAAATTTCTGTCATCAAAACTGTCTACATGTAACCAGGTTTCAGTTATTCCCATTACATCAAAATCCTCTGTTCCAACCAGTGCTCTAAATTCATCCATTTTATTTCATATACTTCTGGCATTAAAGTAATAAGTTTAACCTACCATTAAAGCTATTTTTGTATTTTGTTCCTACACTACTTTTCTCTACATTTTACTTTTTTGTTCATTACTTTGGCCTTCACCACTTTCTAGAACTAGTTAAAAGTTGCCCTTACAATTGAATTAATAGCCCTTGCAAATAAGCCAGCCCCTACTCTATTTAAATGTAAACTATCCATTCCAAAAAGCTTTTCCTACAAACCCATCCAATGATGTGGGTTACAGAATCCTGAAGGATAGACAATCCAAGCCAAAGGCAATCATCCCCCATAATCATCTTTAGAAGTATGCTGGTGAGAGTGGTCATTTGGGCAACTCCAGAGAAGAATTTGTAAGTAGAAACTCAACTTGCTGAAGAATCCAGAGTTTCTGTTGAGACAACTTCCAGAGGATCATTAATGATGGAGCTGCCAGTGGATCCACTTTATCACATACCTAGGAGCAACAGGACAGCTAATGAAAACAAGAGACCATTCCATCTGTATACCATGCACCTTGGAAGAGATATTCATCAAACAAAGATATGGTGAATGGGCAGTTTAATGTAGTGTTTTATTTTTGCATTAGGCTTCTTCAAGGAGTTTCAAATTCAAAAAAGGGTACAGTGTTGTGGGTTATATTTTCAACGTTTTAATTCAGATGTCAGCTAGATGGTGCATGATATTAAGATCAAGTAATAATGTTGAATTCTAGAAAGTTATCAGTTTGAAATCACAAAAATCTGGTAAATTTGTTGAATATTGAGACACAATAATAGATTATAAATATGAGAAACAGTGAGGCATTGATTTAATGTTTTGTTCTCAGTTAGTTGTGAATAG